AAAGTGTTTATGTTCGTAGAAGTTTTATTTAATAATAATAATAATAATTATTATTATTATTAAATAAAACTTCTACGAACATAAACACTTTAAACAAGTATTTTAGTTTTCTATAATTTCTATAATTATTATTATTACTACTAATAAATAAAACTACTAAACAAAATAAGAAATATTACTGTTGTATTATTTCATTGTATTTAAGAAAAATTATAATGATTTTATTTTATAGTACAACTGTAAAATTACAATAATAATATTTATGGCTGTATTAATTTCTTCATTTTCAAATAACTATTAATGATGCTGTTGTTATTTATTTATTTAATATTTACTTATTGAAAAAAAATACAAACATAATAAACATTATAAACATGTATTTTAATTCTTCTAAAAAATAATTATTAAAATATAATAATAATAATAACAATTATTATTATTACTTCCACTAAATAAAACTATTAAACAAAATAAGAAATATTACTAGTGTATTGATTCACTGTACGTATTTAAGAAAAATAATAATTTTATTATATAGTACAACTATAAAATTATAAATCTAATATTTAATTTCTTCATTCAATTATTAATTTCTTCATTAACCATTGAACTTTTATTTTGACAATAATAATAATAATAATAATATTTATTTTATTATTATTATTATTATTGCTTCTACTAAATAAAACTATTAAATAAAATAAGAAATATTACTAGCATATTGTTTCAAATATAATAATTCAATAAATAAAAATAATTTAATTTTATAGTACAACCTTAATAATTACAATGGTTGTCATAATTTTTTCATTTTCAAACATTAAACAGTCGATTTATAATCAATTCTTATTACAAGTGACCCAAACTCGGATGCAGAGACGAGCTCATGTGGAGCAGCTGAGACTGAAAAGACTGTATCATGAGCTGCTCACGTTCAAACAAACACAGTGACGCGCTTCACTTACATTTATGTAATTAAATCAGCCTTTGCAGTTTGATATTCACTCTAAGCCGATTATTTGGATTAAAGGGGTCATATGATGCTGCTAAAAAGAACATTATTTTGTGTATTTGGTGTAATGAAATGTGTTTATGCGGTTTAAGGTTCAAAAAACACATTATTTTCCACATACTGTACATTATTGTTTCTCCTCTATGCCCCGCCTTTCTGAAACACGTCGATTTTTACAAAGCTCATCGGTCTGAAAAAAGCGAGGTGTGCT